CAGGAGTAACTTCTTGCCAGAATACATTTGTGAGAGATCAATTTAAGTAAAAATGCATGTTCCAGTGTGATCACCGATCCACTGATCACTTTGTATGTGATAAAATACAGACTAAGGGCAAGGCTGGGAAACAACCCAGCCCAGCTTCCTGAATGTCAACAGGGAAGATATTTACATGAGAGGAACAGTAGAGAAGACTTCTATATTTATACCTTTTAGACACAATGATTCCATATCAAGAGTAACAGGATTTTTGCTTTTAATATGGATATCATCACTGCCATTAGGTAGTGAAAATTAAAGCTTCAATTGATTCAATAATTTTAACGAGTTTAAATGTGAATTTGTTTATGAAGGAAAGTTTAATATGAATCAAGATAACATAGTGCTCTGTAAACTGACTAGAGTTCAGTTCAGAGTTTCTAGATTTAGACGATGTAAACAGCACCATTCTTAGTTTTGGACCACGTACAATGTCATGATCATGAAAAGTAGATTTAGCATAGGGTTTCTTTTACATACCTGCTACTCTGGGGAAAAGAAACAATAAAAATCAGGGCATTTATTTTACATAGAGATGGTATGTTTTGAGAGCAAAACATTTTTATTAAAAAGCCCCAATAATAAGGGGGATGTTTTCAGCAGAGGTAATGCGAGCTCGCCGCTCACTCCCCGGCACCGGCCGCCCCTCTCCGTGGTGCTGAAGCGGCTCCCGCCGGCCCCGAGGGCGCGGGCAGTGCGCGGAGGGCCCGCCCTGCACCCTCCGCCTCTGCATCCCCGGCTGCTGCATCCCCCATTCCTGTATCCTTCCTCCCTGCATCCGCGGCCCCTGCATTCGGCCCCTGTCATTCCCCTTCCCTGCATCCCTCTTCCCTGCATCCCCCGCTCCCGCATCCGCTCCCCCCCGNGGGCGCGGCTCCGGCCGGGAGCGGGGGGCGAGCGGGGGGCGAGCGGGGGCTCGGCTGCCGGGCATCAGACGAGGAGCCCCGGCTGAGCCTCCGGGAGAGGCCGCCCGGTGCCGGGGCTGCTCCAGGCCAGGGGAGCGGCGGAGGGGCCGCTGCCGCACCCTGGGGATGTGCCCATCAGACTGCCCCACGCCTCTCCTCCCGCCCTCACCTGTTAACACCTTGACACAGGCAATCCCCATCTGCGTCCCTCTGTGCTACGACCTTCCCACTGTTGTAACAAGCGAAGGGGATGTGATCTGCAGGCAGCCGCGAAACAGTCCTGGAGTAGGATAAGAATAGATTAGGAAAATGAGAGTGGTTGGCAAAGGTTGAGGTCAGAAGGGACAGATACACTGCGTGGGCTACACCCACATTTCTTCTGAGTCTTGCCCCTGCTGTTTCCGTGACAGACCAATGATGGCTGGAGAGTATGGATGAGGTTACACAAGGCTAGGAAAGGCTCCGAGGGTGTTGGACTCCTGGGTTATAAATGAAAAGAATTTTTGAACTGGAGGAAGGTTCCAAAATAGCGGAATGAACATCAAGAGAAACAGGTGCTAGGAACTATGCAGAGGATGGATGCTGTTCAGCCACACAAATACAAGTTGGGTAACAAACAGTTACATGACTTTTTTTGTCTAAAAAGGGTATAGAAATTGTAATCTTCTATAAAATAACCTCTTTTAACAGTGACATTGTCTTATACATGTGAAGAAGGTAAATGTACAGCAGAAGCATAAGATCTGAGAGTTACACCACTTATTTTAGTCAACATTCCACAACTCAGTGCAAGCTATGTCAGATTCTGAACACCACACTTCAAGGGCCTGCCAGTGGAAGAGAGGATAAGACAGGGATCTGGATAATCAAAAGTCAAAAACATAGCTTTGAGGAAAATTTGAGATTACTCCCCCAAAAGAACAAACATTGAAGTTGGAGGAATAGGAATTTCTCTAAAGAAAAACTTCATGTTCATCTTGGACAAACATTACAGAGTAATATTAACTGAAGCAATAAAAGTTCTTGCTAGACATAAAAAAAAAAAAATCTGAATGAGAAGGATGGCAAAATACTACAAGAAAGGATTATCCAGAGAGACTTAACATCTCCATCATTGGAGGTTTTAAAAAATTTTTGACAAACACATGCAAGGAAAGTCTTAGATCTGGCAGATGCTGTCCTAAGACAGAAGATGAGGTACCTTGTAAAGTCTCTTCCAGCTCTATTTTACTGTGCATCTGGGCAGTCTGCTTCTGCACAGTACCCCAGCTGTTCTGCTTAAGTCATTTGACTTCAGTATGTGGTTTTTCCCAGTGAAAGGGCAGGTGATCCATTAGATTGAATTTATCTCATTATTCACAACATCAAAGACTACAGAGTCACAGAGCTTGGAAACACAGCTTGACAGCTTGGCAACATCTAATAAAACCACGGTGTTTCCTGGCAAAACAGAGTCTCCTTGCACTTGAGCCATGGGAGGTGATAAGGAGATGGAAATGTACCTGTGCGCATGTGGCAGTCTGATGAGGAGTATTTGCACTGGAATGGAGAAAGAGAGGAGACATTAACTTGTGGAATTTGCAAGCAAGAGGTCCTGGGAGAGGCATTTGTTCAGCTTTATTTCCAGAAGAATCTTGAGCTCTCCAAGATAAACTGTTAATTAATTTTTGTGACCTTACAAGTGTATGGAAGGACTTTCTGCATTGAAAAGATGCTGCCTCAGTGAATCAAATGAGCTTGTAGAGTTAGTTCTAGATTGCCCTTCAGTAACAATACCCCCAAGAGCTATCATCTGCCCATCATCTAGAAAGAAATGGAGTAATACTGAACTCTTAACATGAAAATAATATTTCCTGACTTACAAGTCATGCTAGTACTTCTCTGTGTTACCAAGATTTTAACCTAAGTGCTGTAAAGTGAGTTTCTGTTACTGACACTGCATACCTGCTGTTCTGGCCAGTGTTTCCCTTCAGCACTATGGATGGATGTAGCAATGGCACCTTTCTTTTTAGATTCCTGTTGTGGAGGAGGTAGCATCCCATGATGCTACCATGCATTCTTCTTACAGGCAACTCTCACTTATGGGAAGGAGAATTCAATTCTTGATCCTCTTGTCCCTCTTTGTTTTACTCAGGACATTTAGTCAGGTAATAAATGAGCACACCCTGGGATGTAATGTAGAGACTTACTGCTCTGACAGCAGAAAGAATTTTGGAAATTTGACCAAGGAAATGCTGTGTAGCTTGTCTTTACTTCAAACCAAGGAGCTTCTCTAAAATAACCAGGTTACTGAAAGCAAATAACATACTAGACAAAAAAAAAAAAAAAAAAAAAAAAAGGTAAAACCATATTTAAAGCATGTGTTTTCCCTTTCACCCTTCTCTGACTGCCAACCAGAAAACACAAAATTGGGAAGCTTGGAGCAGAGCTGATAGAGAAAAGGAAAAACACCAAGCAGTCAGTCCCCTTTGTGACCCTTGACTCAGGAGTGCTTGCTGTAAGCTGTGCTGTATGTGCTTATTTTTAGTGGCAGGGGACTCAATACACAGGGGTGGCCTAGCTCAGAGATGGCTGACAGAGCTGTTATCCCAAGTAACTGTCCTTTCGTGCCATGGATGGCTGAGTAATTTCTGATTCAGCTCTGAGGCCATCCCAGTTTAGTGACAGTTTTTGGTGATGTTTTCCTTTAATGCACAGTGCTCTTGAACACATGGTCCAGCAGCTTTCCGTGAGCAGCCTGTTCTCTGGACACGGGGCACAGCTGAGGCTGGCAGACTCCTTGGCCATCCCATCCTATGTCATCCTCACTCTGCAGAGTCCCAGGGCACTCATTCTCACTATAGAGATGGAGGGTTGTCCAAGTTAGTGAGTTTGTTCTTCTCAACAGCCCAGAACAGACTGTACCTTGTTCCTCCTGGTGTATTTCCCCATGAGCAAGAGCTGCTTCCCTCAGTCATCTGGGAGACACCAAGAGATCAGGGCTAGCCATGGCTCAGCACACTGATGAACCCCATCTGTCTAGGTTAGCAGTTCCCTCAGGCAGACACGGCACTGCATGGTGTGCTTGTCAAAGAGACCCTGCATTTACAGACTAGTAGGTGTGACATTCAATAACCTCATTGGTAACCCAAACACAAGGCTGGGCTGGACTCAGTGCACTGAAGATTAGTCTGTGGTACACCACGGCGTGCTTGGTGCACTAGATAAGCTCAGAGAAGGCAGAGGAGAAAAAGTGTTACCCTCTCCCATGGGTCATGTGGACTGCCTTAAAGCACATCAGATTTATTGTAACAACTTCTGGACTGCTCTAATTTGCACCTCTGAAAAATTGCTCCAAACAAGCCCCTTGAATGAACAGTTTGTTCATTTGCCTGATGTCTCCCCCTCCCACTCCCAATATGTTCCTTCCTCCTTCAGCATGCCTCCTGGCCAGGATGGCAGGGCCGGGAGAGCTGGCAGAGGGAGGGCTGGCAGATGACAACGCCCCTGCTTCTCTAAGCCACTTTGAGCAGACTATTGGTATGAAAAGAGCTTAGCACCAATGTTACTAAAACACATTTTTATCTCTCTGACATGCTGGCAGTGAGATACCAAAACTTACCAGAAGACAACAGGTTTCCCAATCAGCTGACGGATATTTTTCAGTGGGAATTTTGTAACTCTATCACCTAGCTGATGTTGAAGAGTTCAGCTTGCTGGAAACATTTTGATAGGAAATGAGTGTCTATCTGATAGACAGGAGAGAGCAGGAGGGTGGCCAGATTGTGGTCTGACATCAGAGTTGCATAACTGCAACACGGCATTCCTGAAAAATCAATTTCTAGGTTAATGAACACATCCCACTGACCAATCAGCATATACAGGGAAGCACAGTGTTGATGCTTAATTTAGTAATAATACCCAGAGACTGAGATAAATGACCTACAATCTATCCCTTTAAACAAGGGATAAATTTTAAACTCCTATCAGGGAATAATATGACATTTTGTACATCAAAAAGAAAAGACTATATATAGGACATCACAGAAAGTATATTTTTACTTGCAGCTTTGATTAATGCTTGATATTACATAGACAATCCTCAAATCATGTGGGAAAATTTCATTGACTGGTTCTGCTCCTTTTGCAAAAAAGACCAGAGAATACCACATCATTTGACTCAGCAATAAAGAGAAGCTGTTCATTTTTCCTTAGAGAACTACTACCTGTGTGCTTTAGAGAAGAAACTTCCCAGAAAGTTTCCCAAGAAAGCTGTTGTGATAAAATACACATTTCTTCTTCAAATCTTCTACCAGGGCTCAAAGTGCAAGTTTGTGAGAAGCCATGGAGTCAAGAAGACCTCGTTGGACATCCGTAGTCAAAATTCTTGGAAGGTTCATGCTGCCTTCATCCTTGACCCAGGCAGGATCTTCAGTGGCTGCTTTGAGCCACAGCTGGTACCTTTCTCCTGTTTCTTTCCAATTCTTTTGGCAATTGGAAGAACCTGAATTACCCCAATGTGAAGTATATAGCTAGGGCCAGAAGGCCTGAAACTGAGAGGGGAGGATGAGACGAACACTGTAGCTTCACGATTACTTTAAACTGCCATAAGCTGGCTCTGTGGCTGGAAGAAACCATCCTAGCTCTCATTTCCCTGGTCACACATTTCTGCTCTCTTCCTCATCTGCCCACAATTAATCCTTTACCTGCACAGTAACTGAGCAACGGATTCTTAAGTGACCTTTAACTCAGATGATTTCCTTTATTTGATTCACCAATCTACTGCACTAATATGAGAGCAAAATAAAGAGCCCCAGCTAGAGAGAGGCTGGATTTCACCTGTTGTCACTGTAGCTGTAGGTGTGAGCCATGAAAGTGTAAACTGGCCACGAAGTAACAGCTTTAGTGCTAAGGAGGTCACTGTAAGTAGAATCCAGCTGAGCAAGTATTCAGCCTCTTATTCATAGCTCACACTCTCTTCTCTTGCAAGCTTCATTCATCTCACACTGTCCAGCTCCTACAACAGATGAGGCAGATAGAAGCTTCTTGCACTATTCCCAGAGCAGGTCAGACAAGGCACTGAGTGGAACCTTCTTGGAACAAGCAGAGTGAGACTGACTGACTCTGTGGAGAGAGAGGAGTTTGACAGTGTCTTCTAAGTGTTTAGTTTGTAAACTCAGTCCCAAAATTTTCACAAAAAATAGCATGCAATGTACATGTTTACAGTGTATTCACTTACCTTTGAAAGTTGGTAGATGGCAAAGAGAAATGTGGTCCCATGGCTAACTGAAGTGAGCTGGATTTCAAGCTCTGCCACCCACATTGTTCTCCATGTGACTTTTGGCAAGGCTCAGCCTTTCTGTGCTTCAAGTTTCCTACCTAGTGAGTGAGAATAACATATTTTGGGTTTGAGGATAATAAATTCACGTTAGTGAGACACCTGAGTGCCAGAGGGATTGGAGCAGTCCTTGGAACAGATCAGTTGTGTGCAGACAAATGGAAGTGTAACTGCAGAGAGTTATAATTCTACAACCACGCTTCCCAGAAAACTGGGAATGGTCACAGATTCTGTAAGCATCATTCCATCATTTTCTGGCCAGGGAGAACTTGATGGAGAAGCCTGAAGTGTGCTGAAAGCAACACAGTGCATGTCATAGCCATCCATGACCTAATGACCGATTGTGGCTTGCCAGTGATAACTTGTTCTGAGCAGATACACTTTCTTAAGTTGTCCTGATTACTCAAAGCTTTATTTACTTCCCCCCAGTTAATTCTGGTCTACAGTTTAAACTCTTCTTGATTTAAAATGCACGGACATCTTTTCTTCATCAGTTGGTACAATGTATTTCTCAAGGCAGCTATTTTTGAGATTACTAAGTGATCATCAGTGCTGTAAATCGCAGATGGGATAAATACCAGTATCAATGACTAAATTAATTCCCAGCATGTTTTTAGGTTCAGTGGTGTTACATAAGAGTCATACTGGGTCCCACAGGTCACAAGTAATGACATAACTGCCCCCAGAGTAATGGAATAAAATGAATAATATTATTAATCCTAAATACTTTTAAAAAGGAAATGCAGTAAGACCGTGGTATCATCTAAGTAAGCTTTTAATGAAGCTATTTAACTGTTGAAGAGATAATTTTTAAATTATATGTTGTCTGATCTATCTAAACATTTTGGGGGTCATCCCAAAGTGGCTCTGCCTTATGTATATGACAAACACGAAAGCCAGGCAGTTACTCTGAATTTCATTCAAGACTACACATTAGGTATTCCCACATGTTTTAGTAACTGCAGTGCTGACTTTCTATGAGCAGATGTTAGAGCTATCAAAAATGAGTACAAAATATAGTTTGGCTAACCCCTATACCTTCCTACTCTTTACCATCACTTCCCAGATTGGCAATCTTTGTTGCCCAGTCTTAGGACATTTAACAGAAATTCAGAATAGAAATCCAGCTTCAGTTTAAGATTGTGCAAGAACAAAACACTGTTAGGTAAGAACTAGAGATTTTTATTACATAGTGTGTGTAAAGCAGTTGCTTACTCTTAGGATTTAATTTCTGCTTCTTGTGAGCTGACTGAATTCTCTGCAAACATGGTACACCACTAACATCCCTTGAATACCACAAAGCTTTGTGCAGATGGCTGGAATGACAGCATTTTAATTCCACTGAAAGAGCTGGTAAATAAAATAATTTACAACCCAGGTGGCACTAAACACGTGCATGTTCAACACAGATATGTCACATTGGGCCTTTTGCTGAAAATGGATGGGTTTAGACTGGACTCAGAACCACTTCTCTGTCTGAAGTATTTTCTGTTTATATGGTTAAATTTCCCTCTGCTACCTGTAGTTGCTACTACTATAGCACAAGCTGATAAAGCACACTGGAATTGTGGGAAATACTGCTGTTATCCCAATGCAATGACACATTTGGCCTCACAACCAAGAGCATGAGATTCAACTTGACCAAGTGCTGGGTCCTATACTTTGGCCACAACTCCGTGCAGTGCTATAGGCTTGGGGAAGAGCAGCTGGGAAGTGGCCTGGCAGAAAAGGACCTGGGGGTGCTGGTCAACAGCAGCTGAACATGAGCCAGCTGTGCCCAGGTGGCCAAGAAGGCCAATGGCATCCTGGCCTGGATCAGCAATAGTGTGGCCAGCAGGAGCAGGGCAGGGATTGTGTCCCTGAACTTGGCACTGGTGAGGCCACACCTTGAGTGCTGTGTCCAGTTCTGGCCCCTCACTGCAGGAAGGACACTGAGGGGCTGGAACAAGTCCAGAGAAGGGAAACAGAGCTGCTGAAGGGTCTGGAGCACAAGGCTGATGAGAAGCGGAGGGAGCTGGGGTATTTGGCCTGGAGAAAAGGAGGCTCAGGGGAGACCTCATCACTCTCTACAACCCCCTGAAAGGAGGCTGTAGCCAGGTGGGGGTTGGTCTCTTCTCCCAAGGAACCAGTGACAGGATAAGAGGAAATGGCTTCAAGCTGCACCAGAAGAGGTTCAGGTTGGACACTAGGAGGAATTTTCTCACAGAAAGGATGATTAGACATTGGAACGGTCTGTCCAGGGAGGTGGTGAAGTCACCATACTTAAAGGTGTTTAAGGAAATATTGACGTGGCACTCCGTGCCATGGTATAGCTGACACGGTGGTGTTAGGTCCTAGGTTGCACTCGATGAGCTTGGGGGTCTTTTCCCACCTAACCGGTTCCCTGATTCTTACTGTGATTTTGAACCCACAGCGCTCGGCAGGCCAGGACTAGCCGGCTCACCAAAGACAAGCTGGCGTCCTATCGCACTCCCTGACTCCTGAGGGCTCGCCCTCTCTCTCTCTCTCCCTCTCCCTCCCGGCGGAGCGCGGGCGTGTGTCCCCTCGGGCTCGCCGTAGCACCCCCCTCTCCCCGCCCCCTCAGCTGCC